CTTCAATTTATTTGTTAATTTCAGAATCTGCTTCAAATTATTTGTTAGATGTGCATTTTAGTTTGGGGTTAGGAAGAATGAAACTATAATTTATCACTTCATTAACCAAAGTTACGCTTCGATAACAGGAGAGGATTGGATCGGTGCATTTACTTGGCCTAATTGCAAGGGATATGATGATTATCCTTTTGATCATTCTACCAAGTAATTTACCTTTTTTAGCTCATTTCTTGAAATAAGAAATCTGAAATTCACGCACTAGCAAAAAACTCTTTATGCTTGCTTTCAAGATTTATTTGAATGACTTATGCAAGTTTTGAACTTTCTTGTTGGAATTGCTATTAAAAACTGAAACTAGTTTGAAAAATACAGTTATTGCGGTGTGGCATTACTTTTTTCAAAAAGATGCAAGATGTAATAAAATGTTCTTAAAAATATCTACTAAACTCTCATAAGTTTGCGTTTATTGATAGTCAAATTTTAACTTACACTTTCGATCAAAAAAATCATTAAAGTCTAATTTATGTATGAGAAAGTCAATATAAAATTCGCATTAAAAAATCTTTTAAAGTACATGGATGTAGAATATAAAAAAGATTATGACATAAAAGTAGATTAAGTATGAATTTGAAGGAATATAAAAGAAAAATAAATTTTTTGAAGTTCAATGATTATTCGAACCACTGCATCTAAGGAAGCCAAAGAGTTTGATCGTGACTTCTACAAAGGTGAATGCCAAAAGCGTCACCATAAAATTATGCAGTATGTAGACAAGTTTCTGGATGACTATAATGGAATATCCAAATTTGCGATTGTGTGGTTTTCAAGGATATCACACGATTCTCTTAATGGACTTTATCATCTCGATAGAGTTCGATTTCTCTTCCTGTTACAATCATTTAATTAACAAATCACTGGAAATATTCCAAGCTAAAAGTGTATTAACACCTACTATTTATAAATAATATTTTATTGAAGTCTTTCAGTATTTCGCTGACTTTTTCCGTAAACATGTGAACAATTTGAACAACTCATTTGTGTTTATGATGGGTGATCATGGATTACGATTTGGTAAAGTTCGGAAAACTTCTGTTGGTGGCGATGAAGATAATAATCCCTTATTTGTGGCAAGATTTTATGAATAAATTAGCATTAATTTGCTTATATATGTTGCTTAATTCGAAATTTAATACTAAAATCTGCAGTAAAATGTGTAAAAACTAAACGAACAATCATAAGCTTAAATTAGCATTTTGGTACTTTTTTTAGTTTCAGGTCGCCTTGCCAAAATCTCTACGCTCAAATGAACAACTTGTTGTAAATTTGAAAAAAAACTCTCGTAGACACACATCTCATTTCGATTTTTATGCAACTTTGTATGATATTGCACAATATTCGAGTCAAAATCACTTCACAAATTGGGGCGAGCACAATTTTAGGTACAGTTTTGCTTTATTACTGCTAATAAGTTGGCACTTTTTTGAACATTATGAGTGTCATCCGCAGTTACATTTAGAGCTCGATAGTTATCAAAAGCTTGAAGTTTTAGAACATTTAGGCTTCTTGCGTAATTCACTCTTTCGGACTTGTCATATCAATATATGAATATCCTTAAACTTATCAAAGAAGCAAGAAGCAAATATTCAATATTACTCCTAGTTTTCACTGCCATCCATTTTGAACCTCGTGTTTTTGCTGAAATTTAAATAAATACTTACAGTCATGCTTAACCGCTAATTTTAAAAGTGACAAAGGTTTTTCGTTGCGAATAAATTTGTATTTTAGAGGAGAATTAGGTGAGGTTCGAGGTGGAATTCGAGCGAAAAGTATTCTAAGACCTATTTCATATGACAGGTTCTGAATTTCTTATTATTGCTCTACTTTTCAGCTTCTTTAATCAGCAATCAAGTAAATATTTTGCTAGATGCAACCACTAATTTGAGCAAAAGAAAGCAAAAAATTAAAATGATCACTCTCTTCTTTTAGATTTTTTAGTTTATTTTTATTTCGGAACATTTTTTGGAGAACCGGCTTTAATTTTTCATGTACTTTTGAAACTAAAATTATTTTTCAACTTACAGAAAACGAAATCTAGAGAATCTTGAAAATTTCACTAGATTTAAAACTTGGAACTAACCATTATTTTTCTCATTAGTTAGAAAATATTGTATTTTTCACTCATAATTTATCCAGGACATGTAAAGAAATGGAAATTAAAACGGAGTACTGTATTTGCAAGGAGTTCTGGAGAAATATAAGTGCAAAAGTAAAAAATGTAGAAGAAGCTGCGCAATTTATCATTTCAATGATCAATAATTATTTGGAGCAGAAAAATTCTAGCGAAGTTTGCGAAAAGTTACATCTGATTAAAGTCTGATTAGTTTATAATTAATTTTGATTGAGGCTAATGAAGAAATGAGTAAATTATTAGAAACAAAGCAAGGGATTTTCTTGTAAAACAGATAAACTAACTAACTTCCAGCTACAGTACACTTATCAAAAGTAGTGATTTGTCAATTCCACAAATAAAATATTTGTCTTAAAGAATCGGAGTTTGTTATTCTAGCTTTTATGATAGCTACTTCGTATTATGCTGTATTTGTTAAAAAGACGATAGTTGATAATTAGTAGACGCAAATTTTAGAAAGTTTTTGAGACTTTGAAAATAACGCTCTACAAAAATAATGCCATCAGTTAGAAAAAGCATGTGTTTTATTTATGCTTATTACAAAATTCATAATTTATTTGTTCATGTTTTAT